GGGAAATTTCCTTCGGGTTGCGACCAATTCGGGGTGCGACCAGAGTCACGGAATGAATTAAGTTTGTAAACCGAGGTTCCACTGTAGTAACAAGCAAGAGGAAACCATATGGATTACTGTTCCAACTCGTTATGTCTCCAACAGCAGGGCAACTGTAATCAACCTTATTTAACATTATCTGAAGTGCCCATAAAATGTCTTGGGGCATCTGGATTAACTAAACCAAAGAAAAATATTTATGTTGAATATATTGCCAAGGAACATATTGAGATAAATCAAACTTGTATTTTTTTAATTCTACAAAAGTTTTGAAAACTATTTCCTGAGAGCTGAACTGATCCAAAGAAATGTTTGTCAGTATTAGCTTTTATTTTCTCTCTGATCTTAAGAAGAACAGTTACCATATTTTTCCCAGCAGTTGCCAACACTGTTGCTGTAGTGAAGGACAAAGGCACTGGAATATTCTTGGGCACCACCTTGACAAATAACTCCCTGATAATCAAAATACTGTGTAATCATCTGTTCCTGGCTCTGATAATAGCAGTTAACACAGCAAATAAATAATTACAGAATTTAAATTGCAGAAGGATGCCAGAGACAGCTATTAGCCATCTGACTATAGTACCATCTTAACCAAATATAACAGACCCTTCCCAGATGCCTCACCAAGAGATAAAAAGATATATCTCCTTCTGGACTGGGTAACTGGTTAAAGGGAAAAAAGAAGCAAAGAGAAAAGATAAATGAACAGTTTTAACAAGAAAAATATATTGTGTTATAAACTTCAATCTTGGGAAATGTGCTATTTAACCTTCATGATTTTTTTAAAAAAATACTGTTTGCATGAGCATACAACTGCCAAATTTGGAGACAATACAAGATAATTTTGAATGGTAAAAATGTGAGCAGACTGTAAAGAATTCTCTCTTTAAGCAAATGGATAATGAAATGGACATATGCCTGCATTTCAGGATAAAAAAATGTTAACAGAGATTTATGTTGGTACCAGTATTTTCACATATGAATAATTATGATTTGAATATGTATTTCATTTCATATAAAAGTAATATAATGGTTTACAAACTTAGAATAAAATACAGATAACAAATATTAAAGCCAATGTTGCAGAACAGTATCCAGCAATGATCAATGGAATGCCATCAGCAGAAACCTGGGTGAAAAGCTAAGCCAAATGCATCCCCAGGTAAATAGTTCCATAACAAGGACACTATAATTAAGAAAAGCCTGACTCAGTAAATTATCCTCCAGGTATTACTCACTGATAACACCATAAGCAGGGCTTCCTCAAAGATCTTAAAATTCAAGCTAATGCATCTGAGAGACATTCTAGCAAATACTTGAGCCCAAGCCTGTGTGTGTGTGTGTGTGCACGCGTGCACCTTCGAGTCAGTGTTGATTTCTGGTGACTAACTGGACAAGTCCCTACAGTTTTCTTGGCAAGGTTTTTCAGAAGGGGTTTACCATTGCCTCCTTCCTAGGGCTGAGAGCGAATGACTGGCCCAAGGCCACCCAGCTGCTTTGTGCCTAAGGAGGCACTAGAACTCACAGTCTCCTGGTTTCTAGCCTGATGCCTTAACCATTACACTGAACTGGTTCTAGGGTCATTTGGGGTCTAATAAATCATTAACACTTTGACATGAGCTCAGGAGCAAATACCTTGTGAAGATCAGATAGCACAGTCATGCTTTCTAAAGATTTGTCCTCTAAAAAAGGGCCTACTAGTTCAGTCTGCCCCAGGCACTCTATGGACTCTGCTGGGTTCCAGAAGGAACTTGGGGTTTTCCCTGAGCATCTGATGGGCAGTTTGGCCAAGGTCTTAGTTGCAGTCTGGAAAATGCTGGTGGCAGAGGCTTTGAACCATAGTGCCCCTGTGTGGTTTATCCCTGTGCACTGATCCCATGATGCCCCTTGGTTTTCCAAGAAGCTCAGGAGATGAAGTATTAAAAGAAATATCTAATGAGTTGTTGGAAGAAGACAAAGAACAAAGCTGATTGAATGTGAGAAAGAGTCCGTGTTCAGGGTTAAATTGTGACAATAAGAGCAGCAAAGTATCATTGTTTCTCTGCCCTTACTGTGTCCACTAATAGCTATCTAGCAGCCTGTTCAGGATGACTCATTCCTTGTTTGAGAGGGACAACTCACAGGAATACATTCAGGGATTCTGCAAAAAATATTCTCGTTATCTGATGGATAAAGTCACTCAGATATACTTGGAATTGCACTCTGACTAAGCAAGTTCAGTTGAGGTAACTGGGGCAGTGTCTTATGGATTTATCCTACGGCTCCTGATTAAGTGGACAGAGTCCTTCAGATGGCAAGCTTGGCCACCTGTTTATTAGATCCATGTCTCTATTGGGTTGTTAAAGCTGCCCTGGAGGTAACATGTGGTTGGCTCCATGCAGTGGTGTCAGCCTCCTTGAAGGAGGGGATAGTTCCTCTAGTCTTAAAAGAGGTGGTAGTGTGCTCCTAACACAAGAGGCCATCACCAGACCCAAAAAATTTCATCCAGTCTTTAGGTCACTGAAAAATTGGTTGGGAAGCAACTTCAGAAGATCCTAGAGGAAACAGATTATCTGGATCTATTTCAGCCAGTTTTCAGAACAGGGTAGACCATAGCATTGATTGCACTTGTTGATGACCTTTGGAGGGGCCAGGATGGGAACAGTGTGTATACATCCTGATGCTTCTTGATCTCTCAGCAACTATCAATCACAGTATCCTTCTGGAATGACTGTAGGGATTGGGAGTGGGAGTACTATGTTATGGTGGGTCTCCTCTTTTCTCAGTAATCAATTCCAGTCAGTACTGAAAGGGAAAGAAGTCAAGCCCACAGCCCCACACTTGTAATGTACCTCAGGGCTCCACACTTTCACCCCTCCTGTTTAACAACAACCTGAAACAACTGAGTGAAATCATCCATTGGTTTGGAGTTTGGTATTATTAGTATGTTGATCATACCCATTTGTACATCTCAACCCCAGGCTATCCAAGTGATGCTGTCCATGTCCTATCCAAGGGTCTGGAAGCTGTGTGGGTCTGGATGGGGAGAGACTGACTCAGACTCGATCCTGATAAGACTGAGTAGCTGTGGGTATCTGGGCTTCCTGGTCCTGGGGACTTTCCATCTCTAGTCTTGGATGGAGTAGCACTTTACTACTCAAGACTGGTGCAGAGTCTGGACGTCGTCTTGAACTCAGAGCTCCTGTTGAAAGAGCAGGTGGCAGCTATAACCAAGAGGATCTTTGTTCAGATACATCTAGAGGGCCTGTTGTACCCATTCCTGGATTGAGAAGCCCTTCAGTCAATCACTCATGCCCTAGTCACCTCACAAATGGATTACTGTAATGCATGTGGCTGCCCTTGAAGGGCATTTGCAAGCTACAGCTGGTTCAGAATGCAGTGGCACAAGCAGTGATGGGTGGGTCAATGTGACCCCATCACTCCATGAGCTGCATTGGTTACTGGTTGGCTTCTGAGTGCAATTCAAGGTACAGTTATCATCTGTTTAGTCCTTCATGGCATATGGCCTGGTTATTTGAGGGACTGTCTGTCTCCAATTGTTTCTACCCATCTGGTGAGATTGGGCAGGGTGAGTGTGTTTGGGTCCCACTGACTGAGCACTGTCATCTAGCAGGACTCAAGAGGCAAGTCTTTTCTGTGATGGTTCCTGCCCTCTGGAATGATACTGCTCCAGAGATCAGGATGGCTCCCACCTGATGATATTTTACATGGTCATTAATTCTAATGGTCTTTCATATTTTTACTATAATAGTTTCATCTGGTAAATTCTGTTTTCTGTAAAATAAGTCCTGTAGACTTAGTAGAATATTAGAAAATTCTGATATTTGAGATATGTGCATCTCCTGAAAAAGAGAATACTAAGCAGACTATAGTTATTAAATATTACTATTCAAAAAGGTAACAGAATTTTTGTCATAAGGAAAGTGAGATGGACATATATTTGGCTCTGAAATTTTTAAGCAAACTTGATGCCAGAATTATAATTCCTATCAATGTATTTTGAGAAAACAATTTATCATCGTTCCCAAAAAGTTAATTTCATCAGGGCATTTGAAGATGGCACAATATTGTACCAGATTTATATTAATGTAGAGGATCTAATATTTACAAATATTTTATTTTTGTTGTCAACAGTCGCTTAGATATTCTGATTCTTGTTTAGTAATTTTTTCTCATACAAAATCTGAATCTGCTGATTGAAGGCTAAGTCAAACCCTTTAAAATGTATCCCTAAGCATACTCTGCAGGAGTAAGTCCACTGACTGCCGTGGGCATACTCCCAAATAAGTGTTTATAGTATTGCAAGCTGACTTGGAAATTCTAGACAAAGGGGATTAGAGAAATTCATGGAGGAAAGAGCTAGTATTATTGGCCTTGGAGTCAGTGTTACCTTAAAGTTTAGATCACATGCCTCCACATTCCAGTTGCTGGGGAACAACAGCAAGAGATGAGTATGACTCCATCACTGCTTGTGAGCACCCCAGAGGAATCTGGTTGGTCACTGTTGCAAACAAAATGCTACACAATGTGGGCTTTGGCCCAGCTGACCACTTCTTATGCCCCTAATAATTTGCACCACTGTTACAGTAAACCTCAATTCTACTGTTCAAGGAAAATATAGTTCATTTTCCTTAAATAATAATACACCATGAAACTAGATAACACTGGACTATTCTACATCACCATTATGCTTTCACTGCTAGATGACTATAACACTAGGTACCTTGCAAGGCTTACATAATTCAGCTGTTGCAACATGTAAACAAAGGCAAGTAAGACATTCAGAAAAATCATGTTTTTTTAAAACATAGAAATACTATACATTTCTACCTTTTGTTTTTGAAGAGACACACTATGTCCAGTTACAGCTATACCAAAAGCCTTTTTTTTAAAAATGGAGCAGGAAACATTTCTTAGCATGGATTTTTTTTTAAGCCTTCCAAAAGCTTCCTTTTCCAGACAGTATATATTTATCAGTATAATTTTAAAGCTACCAAGAAGCAGGAACAGGGTTTTCTTGCAAAACAAAAAAGGGTAGAAAAGTGGCCCCGTGTCTACAGAAGTGCTAGGGCCTAGCTTTGTTTGTTTAATGAAACTGGGGAATCAGGGATTGTAGTATATTTTAGGGGGACAAGGAACACCCCTTGTTCTCCCTTGAGGGTGCCTCATCTAATACTAGAGTGATGTTGTAAGGCAAATGATGGAGCTTAGCTTTGGTTTTCTGTCTGTTGGCTGGTTTCATAATGCTTTACAAAACAAATCTGATGGCAGGGGAAAGCAGAGTAGGTCTCATTTAACTCATTGAGTAAATATGCAGTGGCTAAGGCTCTTCAAATGGAGACCCTGATCCATCTGAATAAAATATGTATCATGGATCTTTGAATTATGTTATGACACAGGATGCATGTTTTTAATTCTAAAAATCCTGTTCTCAAAAGTATCTCAAATTTAGCCTGAGGGTTGTATATGTAAAACTAAACTTACTCAGCAATCACTTCCCAGCCTTCATCAAAGAGTTTTTAATTGTGAGAGTTTCATATTGCTAGTTTAAAAGACCTAGGAAGTGTATAAGCAAGCAGAAAGTGTGTTTGTGCATGTGAACATGTATGCACATGTTCAGAGGCATTCTAGACAGGTTATTTTAGACATCATATGCTGAGTTTGCTTGCTTTTTTTGAAAAATGCAGTTAGTTATTTAGTAAGAACTTCCTTTACCACTCTGTATTCTTTAGCCTTCAAATTCTCTGTGGTCACTTCATGGGCTGGGCCAGGAACCAATTTTGCAAGCATTTATATGGCTAGGAGTCATGTATGAGTCAACCATTTTTTGCACATTAAGAAAGATAATCTGCATCTCCTTTCAACCATCTCCATAATCTATAGCTATTCAACTGGGTTTTTATGATTATATATTTGTTAACAGAAACACATTATGAATCTATTTTTTTCCACACTCACTATATAAGATCAGAAGAGACTATTTTTCCAATTCTTTTTCTTGATAGTTTGCTTCTATTTCTGAAAAAGACGTATAAGAAGGGATGCTTAGTATAGATAGATGTTGTAATTAATACTTTTTCTTCTGCTAATAAAGTTTTGGGCAGAGAACGTGGAGAAACTTCCAATATTTTTATGATCAAAATCTGGGATTCAGGATAAGATAGAGATTTCATTCTTTTTCCTGCTAAATATCTGATGTTTCATTTTATCTGATCTTGTATCTTTCCCAATGTATGGTTTTTGTTACACTTTTAACTGTATTTTCATGTTTTTTAAATAATGTACTGATACCAAGCTGTTGCAAACTGTCTTAAATTCAGGATATGCTGATTAGGACTGGTGGAGGAATTCAGTAACCTTTGGAAGATCATATATTGCCCATCCCAACCCCCAGAACCACAAAATTTAGGTGTTATGAAAGGGCACACTTGAAGTCCAAATGTTTGCTTGTGAAAGCTATTTTGTCCCTGGTTTGTTTTTATAAATAACCCTTTAAAACTAAACCTTTAGCATTTTTTTTTCAGATTTCATTCTGGAACCCCATTCATATGTTACTTTTATTTCTTATCTTTTCTTGGAAGTAAATCCCACAATGTGCAATGGGTCTCACGTCACAATAAATGTATTCAGAGATAACAGTCAAAAGGCTAGGTAGCAATCTGTTCATATTTTGAAACTGGTCTTGCCATTTTTGTGCAATACAAACAACAAAGACCCTTGAAGACAAACACATTTATCCAATTTTCATGGATCACAGCCACTTTATCAGATAAACGCAATGTAGTCCTGAAAGAGGAGTAACAGATATCCAATTCCTGGGAGTGGGAAGAAGGGAAGGGGGGAAATGCTAAAAGAAGTTATTTAATAATATATTTCCTAGCCATTAAGGCAAAGCTCTGTTTTTGCTGTAACAGACTAATTTGGAAACTCAGGCAGTAAACAGACAATTATGTCCAAACATTTTGTTTGTTCTTATCACATGAGTAACATTAAATTGGGAATAGTCAATTATATATCAGAGACTTAAAGGGCATGCTGTTATAAATTAGAGATTAGCTTACTAGATCATGAATCATTACGATGATAATTGGAATTAGTGTTTATGATTTAATGTACCAGCTATGTCTAAGAAAAATGTCTAAAGTTCACTCTGTAATAGGGTTCTTAAATAGTGAGGAAAGGGAATTTCATATGGGAGGATGAAGTACTATCTCCTTCTTCATAATTAATAAATCAAAAGATTTAAGCGTCTCAGGTCTCCAAAGTAATGGTACTTGGTTTAGGAAGAGCCCATGACACAACACTGGGACTGTGGTCATAGCATGTGATCAGTGCAAACAAGAACATGAGAGAGTATATTATTACATCTATTTCCTAAACAGTTTGCTTAGGATTAGAAACACTTTTGTTATATGCATGTTTTTTTTAATAAATAACTTAACAATTTTCAATTATTCAAGTGCATTGCTCTTTTTTCCAAATGCTATAGCAGCAAAATCTGTGTTCATGATTTTGATGTTTGTCCAGGAAGCCATTCAAAACTGAAACATCTGTCCACTTCAAATGTTGGAAAAGTAAATTAATACTAGCTTTTAGGCTTAAAAATTATTCAAAAAATTGCTTTAGACCTTGTGCAAGTATAGCCTTTCTGCTATTCAATATACCAGCCTGACTTTTTTCAGGTACCTACATCACCCTGGAAAAATATTGTTTTAAGGAATCAACATATTAATGCACCTGATTAAACAGCTACAATCTTTTCCAGAGCAAAGGAGTTAAAATGATACCCTAAAAGAAGACAAAGAGAAAAGTCATGTTACTTATATCATAATACCACAAGCTACCAAAACAAATATATGCTGATTGGACCTAATGGCTGTGACAGAAAAACTTCCAATACATAACAAGTCTACTACCAATTAACCCTTCTTGCTCATCTATGCATATCTGAATAATATTGCAAAGGAAGGAAGCTCAAAAACCTGCAGACTCAAGTAGTCTTATCATGGGAAAAGACTGGGAAGATGAAGAATATTGCAAGTAAAGAACTGGCTATGCAAACGAGAAAGATTTGGTTTCAGGACCATGTTCTGAATTATTTGGCTAATGCCCTGCTGGCAGAGGATAGTTTGTAATTTGTGGACTAATGTTTTGGCTGAAACCTTTTAAAGCTAAGTTGATAAGAAGGGCTTCACAATGTGGGGACTGGAGATGAAAACACTGGTAAGATCTACAATAAAGACTTCTGTAGAAGGAAGAGGGAGTGTTAATATAATGGGGCCTATTAAAACACTCAGTGAACAATCAGAAAGAATTTGGCTCATAAAATTTGAAGGTCTTGGTTATTTGAAGTTGAAGGCCATTTATTCACTAATGCTCAGAATGTGGGAAAAAACAAGATGAAGCTGAACTCTAAGTACAAGAAAGCAAGTATGATTTCATAGATATAATGGAAGCATGAGTGGTTAACTCCCATAATTGGAATATAGCAACTGATGGATACAATTTACTGAAAAGGATCAGATACAATACAAAGGAAGGACTACTTGCACTGTATCAGAAATCCAAGTGAATTAGTTTGAATTTACAGTGAAACTGTAGAAAGCATTTGGGTTAAAAATGTGGAGGATTGGTTAAAAGCAGTACTGTTGTTTATGTCTGTCTTATTTGGTGGCAATATCTGGCTGACCTTGTCTAGATTTGCAAGCTAAGATAGTCAGGCTTGTTGAGTATTTGGATGGCAGACTCCAGGGAATACAAAGACTCTAGGCTAGATTGGTCAGAAGGCGGCATCGGAAATCATTTCCAGAATACTATCAAGGAAACATCATAGATGTGTCTATGAAGTCTTCAGAAGTTAAACTTGACTTAAAACAATTTTACTTCTACCTGTTAGTGTCCAGTATTGACTGCCCACTCAAGGAGTAAGTGTGGTTAATGCTTTCAAGAACAAATTGCATCTATTTCAAAGACGCATGAAACAACATCTATTGAGATACAACCATGACAAGCATGACCAACCCAAGAAATGTTTGCCTGCCTGCCTACCTGCCCGCCTTCTTTCCTTCCTTTAGTATATAAAATGCCTCATTCCAGAGACTCTAGGCAATGTATAAAATCAAAATACACTACAAAGCAACAATACAATAACAAACCATAATCAGTAACAAGCAATAATATAGCAAATCTTCCTCTTGCTGCTTAATCATTAAAGGCTTTTTAGAAAAGCCAGGTCTTAATTATTTTCTGGAAGAGTGGGGATCATTCTTGCCTCAGATTATAAACTGTTCCAAAGAAGGGTAACTCCTTTGACTTGTCTTCTTGACGGCTTTGTCTTTCAAAAGGTGGAGGAAAGCACAAGAGGATCAGCTATTCATGACCCAACACTAAACTCTAAATCTGCAGATTTCACAATACTGTACTAGGTGAAGTAGCTAATCCCATAGAAGTCAGAAATAAAATTCAAAACAATCTTGTTAGGTTAGGGAAATGAGCTGAAAATAATGTAATGAAATTTAACAGATATAAACCCAAAGTTCTTCACTTAGGAAACAAAAGTGAAATGCACTGAATAGGACAGGGGATACTTAATCTCATAATAGTACTTGTGGAATTGAGTTTGAAAATCTAAATGTGAGTTAGCAGAGTGATGTGACTATAAAATGCAAATGCATTTTAGGCTGTATCCGTTTTAATAGCTTATAAAAAGAATATTTTTCAATTTAATATTAGACTGCACCTCAAATATTCTGTCTAGTTTTGGGCCCCAGAGTTTGAATGAATTCAACTAACTGGAACACATGAAGAGAAAGGCAACAAGGATGACCAAAAGACTAGAAACAAAGTCCTATGATTAAAGGAACTGGGAACATTTAGCTTTAAGAAACCCCTAAGAAAAGGTTGGGATGGCAATTTGATGGCACTCTTCAATTACTTGAAAGATGCCGTATAAAGTAGCATTCTAGAGTGTAAGATGCAGAATAATGGATATAAGATTCAGGAAGGCAGAGTCCAACTGAATGGAAGCCAGTTACCAGTGAAGGGCTTTGCTTCACTGGATGTACTGAAGTGGAAGCTAGACAATCCTGCATTGGGAATATTTTGTTTTCCTGCACTGAGCAAGGAGATTGGGCTTTACAGTCTAAACGGCTCCTTGCAACTCTATGATTCCAAACCTTTGGGAATATAGATAGAGGAAGGCAAACCTATATTTAGTTCATTATTTAATCACCATAACATGAATGATTTGCATTGGAGTGGGCTATGTTCTGCAACAGGGGTGAGAAAACGTAGTGTTGAGGCTGCATTTCCCTGTACATAATCCATTCCTTGGAATAATCCATCTCCTGTTGGTGAAATGTAGGGCAGAAGCCAGTACCATAGTGGGTTAGGGCAGAGCTTCATGGGTGGGGCTGCCTGTAGACTGCTTTTGCCAGAGGTCTAAACAGATCACTTGCACAAAGCTTTTGTTCCAAAGTCAATTCCATAACATTACAAACCAATTGTGTACATAGATATAAGTTGAAAAAATGCTAGAACAGCCTGTGGAAATACTGTAGTTCTAAACTGCTAGTTTCTCTCAGACATGATTGTTTAAATGGATAGTTTTGCTACAAAAACACCACAGCAAGCTGAATATTCCCATTACTTATGTTAGCTTCAATTGATAGAATAGGAATTATAGGACAGAATCCTGAACTGTTAACACAGTGAATGCTTTGTTTCTGAGAAATCAACAGGTTTTTTTCCCCTTGCATAATGCCCAGTATGAGTTACAGAGGTAGTGAAAGCATGTATGCAAAAATTGCATCATTGCTTCATGTAGCATTAGAAATAAAAAAGTGGTCACCACTTACTTGATGTTACTTGTCCCTGCTGTCTTAGAGAGGGCTAATAATAAAGACAGTACTTGCTAGATAGCATTATTCTCTGCCTCGGGGAAAACTGAACAGCAACTGCCACCTACACAACTGGCAAATCTAGTGAGAAAGAAAAAAACAGAGGGCTGAGGAAGGCTGTATGCCAGTGTACAATAGGAAAAACATCTATCTTTGCTGGATTTCACACAACATGCTAAGTTTGTGTAAGCACAAATTGTTGAATAAACCACAATTGCCTGAGGTTTTACAATATAGTACACCAAAAACCATGATTGCCTGGGGTTTTATAATATGCTACACCAAAATTAATTAGAAACCACTATGATAACGTGAAATGTAAACTCAAAGGTTCTGTTCTCATATCACTTTAAGCCATTGGTTTAGCTTGGGCTTGTGTGAACCCAGCTAATTATATCATATGAACTGTGGTTATTTAATAAAGCAACCATGGCCTTCAACTATTGTGTGAATGTGTGGGGGAAGGACACTTGTCTATGTGAGGAGGGATAGAGAATTCTTCAAACACTAATTTAGCACTGTTCTTCCCAAAAAGTTGCCCAATACAATTTTTAACCTTGTACTTAGAACTGTTCCTAGAAACTAGCTGCAAGTAATTAATCTTTCACATTAATGCTTTACTTTATTAAATTCTTATCTCATCTTTTCACAAAAAGTAGTGCTTAAATCAGATAATAATAATATAGAGAACTACAATGTAAGTAAAAGCAAAATTAAAATTAAACTGAACAGCTCAATTCTATGTGAACAAGGTAACATAAAAGCAAAGAAACTATATGAATAACAATTATTTTGCTTACTGGTAAAAGAAGAGTAGCCACCAAGAAGGTCTCTCACAATCCTGCCAAACGTACTTCCAATGATGATATAAAAGGACCTCTCCCAAGAATCTTAGAACCAGTAGACTATTATAAAGATTGCTGTCACTTAAACATCTTGACACTATTGTATTGTATATATGACTTCTTTTACCCTTTGTGTCTGGAAACAAGTGGCAGCAAGTGGAAATCTTGAATAGTATTTAAAAACCTCCAGTTGGTTTAAATAAAGACATTCCCTTAATATGGAGGTTGTAATAAAGGAGTTGTCTCTAACTCGCCCTGTCAACACGGTGATTTTTCTAGATGAGCTACAGTTTCCAAACAATTTTCAAAGCAGCTACACACAGATGATGTTACAGTTGTCCAAAGGAGATGTAAATAAAGTCCATATCACTGGGGCCAACCTTTGTCACCTTCATTTCTCTTCCAGCATTAAGCCCTTTCAGTTGGTGTTACGTTTCCAGAGTTACTTTTATACTGCCATATCCTCATCTGTATTGTTTAAAATAACTGAAAGTAATGAAGTATGTTGATTTTTTTGTTGTTGATTATCTGGCAGTTCCCCTGAATTTATCACTTTCCATCTCCTTCCCCTAAGTAAAATATAAAATTGCCCAGTAGCTGATCAGTTTCAATTATTCAAACTCTACTGACAGCTCTCTTCTTTAAGACTACAGATAGTCCTTGACTTATGACCATTTGTTCAGCAACTGTTCAAAGTTATGCAGCACTGAACAAAAGGTGGTTATGACCGGTCCTTAGAGTTTCGGCCATCCCAGCACCCCTGCGGTCACATGATCATGATCTGGGCACTTGGCAACCGGCTTGCAGTTACAACCACTTGCAGTTCCCTTTGCAACCTTCCCTGCTGGCTTTCGCAGAAAGTCAATGGGGAAGCCAGCAGGAAAGGTTGCAAGTCACTGGGGTAAGTCTCCCCCACCCGCACACCCCTTCTGTGCTTGCACTGCGTTGACCACTCACGCACCCCACGCACCTTCCCCAGCCTTGCTGTGCTTCCCATGCACTCTTGCACACCCCTGCACACCCTCCCAGAGCCTCAACACGCCTCCTGCATATCCTTGTGCAACCCCATGCACCCTTCCCAAGCCTTGCCACGCCTCCCTCACACCCCTGCGCACCTTCCCCCAGCCTCACCTCCCTCACACCCTCATGCACCCCCAACCCTCGCCTCCCTCGCACCCTCATGCACCCCCACCGACCCTCGCTGCACCTCCCTTGCACACCCCCGCGCACCCTCCCCAACCCTCCCCTCCCTTGCACTTCCCCACACATCCTCCCCAACCCTTGCCACACCTCCATTGCACTCTCATGGACCCCCGCGCACCCTCCATGAGCCTCCCCACACATCCCTCACACCCTCTCTCCAACCCTTGCCTTGTCTCCCTCCACTCTCGTGCACCCCTATGTATCTTACCCAACCCTCATCGTGCCTGTCTCCCTCGCACCCCCTTGTGCCCTCCCCCATCCAAGAGCAGCCACTTACCTGCCCTGTCAGCCTGCTTGTCAACCACCTGGGACTTGCAACTTCTGGCTGGCTTCCCCACTGACTTGGTTCTGAGAAGCTCGCAGGAAATTGCCTTGCCTAATGACCATGGGATTCAGTTAGCGATGCCAACTGGAACGGCAGGGATTGCTAAGAGATGTGGTCATGCTTTATGATGGCATTGCTTAGCGATGGAAATTCTGGTCTCAATTGCCGTCATAAGTTGAGGATTACCTGTACAATATTTCCACCCTGGTGTCTCCATGTGTACTAATCTTCTCTTCTGGGATTGGCTAATGCAGCCTGACTGACAAAAAGTAACTAACAATTTCTCAGCTTCTTATCAGTAACAGTGGCCAAGAGAAGGCAGCAAAGCAAATGCTTGGCTTGTTTAGTTGTAAATAATTTTGCAAGTGAATATGCTGAAAGTGGAATTATATATTATCTGTTTTTTTAAATAAAGGTGAAAAAAATCTAAAGTGGCATTTTACACTGAGTTTTTTAATCAAATCCTGAAAACACACAGAAAACCTGGGTTATAACTGCAAACAAATAAAAAGTCATGCTTCTGTTAACATCGGCTAGCAGGACAATTATATAACAATCCAGAAACCCTAACTGGTTAAGAAAAAGCAAATATTAAATGCCCCATGTGGTAGAAGCTGCAAATTATTATTGTATGATTTAGTGATTCTACAGAGGGAACTATCCTATATCCTTGAAATGACTAATTAATAAAGCAGAGGGAAGAGAACAGAATTTGGCTCTTGAAAAAAAAGAGCAAAATTTAGATATGGTTAAGTAGTTCAGGTAAGCGGCACATCCTTTGTTCACACTATTAAATATTCCAATGGACACTGGAGAATGGGTCTTATAAACTGCTGAATAAGAATACTGAAAATCAGCATCTCTGACATGCACATCCTCTGCTTGGCAGAACTCCTATATAAACAAGTCATACAAAAGCCTAAACATGGAGGCTTTGAGGTGAAGGCAGAAACCCAGGAGCTATTGTGTTTGTTTTCACTAAGATAATAGAGTAGACCAGAAGAGGTTTATGACCAACCTTTATCCAGAATCTAAAAGCTATAGACCAAGCACTACCTTCAGTGAAAGGAAACCCAACTTCTAAGCAAATGGCAGCAGAAGGTACACATTTAGGCATACCAAGAATAGAATATAGAAAACTAGAGAGAACTTGTTCAACTATTGAACTAAATCCTAGATCCATAGTGGGATGCCACATACAACTAAGATACCACTTTGGCTTTAAACATCTGCAGAGCAGCTAAAACAAATTGTCCACCTTTAGCAAATAATAGTTTATCATATAAATTCTACAGGCAACTTGGGAAAGAGAAGATAGAAAAATGATTCTCAAATATTTGAATTGCCAGGTTTGTTTTATGAGCTGTCTTCTAATGACTCATTTCCATCTTTTTTTTTTTTTTAGAGAATATGTCCTTAGATTTACTTAAATTAATAGCTGAAAAATTGTTGAAACAATAGTCCTCAAATGCACACGGTACATGCTTCCAGCCTATCTTTGTTAGGGAAAGAATTGTGAAGTATTACCAGAACTGAAACTGGGGAAGAATTAGCTTACACCAAATAATGTAAATATAAATTAAACAAATTTGGGGCAAGAGTGAAGCAATCATTAACCCCTTTTATGATAAGTGTAATAAGATATGGTTAAATACAGGAGTCTTTTATCAAGGGAAGTACAATAGCACTAAATTAAGCTAAAGTGTTTCCCATAAGATGGAATCAAAGGCAGTCTTCCAACCCATGAAGTCTACGTATAAGCTTCCACTGGAAGAGGCCAAGAGGTTTTCTGTGTATCTCTGCTGCCATGTATTAATCATCCAGATTTGTGCAGCCCAGATAATCTGTAGCTTTGGGGTCATTGCAGAGAAAGCCTCCTGGCTCATGTTCCCTCAATTTTCCAAAGGAACTCTAAGCAGGACCTCTCTGAATGATCTCACCTGACATGCAGAATCATGTTGATTTGTTAAGCCATAAATCATTGATCACAAACTATAAAAAGGGAGGTTTTACCAACACAAAAGCCAACCCCCCCACCTTATGACTTAGTTTATTGACTATGCCAGGTCACTGACTGGTTATCCTCTAATACTTACTTGACAACCCATAGTTTCTTTCTTCTTGCTCATTTGTCCATCCAGCTAGATTTGAGTTCACTAAGTGGGAATTCCTCTCACCGTACAGCATGAGAAACATCCAGGGCGCCCATGGGAAAGTAGTCTTCTCAGGATGTGCTGATCTTTCGTCTTTCACCACCAGCCCTCAAAGCAACACCGAAATACAACACCGCCAATTTTCCAAAAAGTGGCACGGAACAACACGCGCTCCACAAAGAACCTACTCTTAGAGGAGCAAGCTCATCCTCTAATCCTCTGCATATGAAAACCGTCCTTGGGCAGTTCTGAATTTTTTGCCATGTCTACACCCGTCTTTCTTGGTATTTGCATCCCGGCACTCCAGCTTTAACAGCTTATTACTCGTTACTTGGCAAGGCCGCGCCTACTCGCAGGCAGCCGCCTAGCATTACTTCAATATTTCACGTGCGCAGACTGGCCGTTATGCTCGGTTATCCTCCCCTCGGTTTTAGTAAGTGAGAAGGCGGCTTAAGGGAAGGGCCGAGTCTAGACGGGGGAGGGGGGGACGCGCGCTCAAGCGCGCACTTGCAGCCGAGGCCAAAACCGGCGTTCGTTCTCCAGCGCATGCGCCCTTTCCTCCGGTTTTGCTTAGACTATTTGAACAGGAAGGCGGACATATTTGTGAGAGTGCTCCCTCCTTGATTAGCTACTGAGGCGGTGGTGGCTTTCCTGGGGCCTCGTACTTTTGCCTTCCTTCGCTTCTGTCTGCAGTTGGAAAGAGCTTTCTTTTCTTCTCTTCCCCCCCCACACAACACGATAGAACAAGGTGGGGCAGTAGAAGAGTGGAGCCCGGCCAAGCTGCACCTACTTCTCTGAGACTGGAAGCCCGGTCCACATCGGGAAAGGAAGGGAAGAAAAAGCGCAGCCACCGTGAGAGCCGGAGAAGAGAAGGGAAAAGGGGGCGAGGAGAGGAGGAAGCTACCTCAACCGTTACGCGGCTGTCGATGAAACCGCGTGCGTCTCGAGGGTAAGGCGGAGGTGTCTGCTTTCTCTTCCGATCCAGAATTGGAGGCTAGCGCGGCCTCCGGGCGGCTCGCCCTTGTTACCTTCGCCGTGGCTTGAGTACGAATGAAGCCGTGCGCCTCCTCAGGCCCGAGTCTCTCTGGAGGGAGCAGCTCGATGACGCTCCGTTGAGAAAGTTTCCTGTTTTTCATGGTAGGCCTCACTCTCTCCTCCCCCCACCCCCGTTCCCTTCTTTCAGAGCTGCTACTGGGTAGCTAATACTGAAGAGAAGCAGGAGGAACCGCTACACTGATTGGGAAAATGTGGTTCCTTCGACACAGGGCCTCAGGCTGGAGACAAGAGCAGACTGGAAGGCTTGTGACTATCGCATAGAGACTCGCGGGGCAACGGAGAAGGCGGCTCTCCCAGGAGGGAGCAGCGCCTCTCTTCCCGTTTTCGACGTTCGCTCTTTGTCGCGCGACGATGTGTAGAGGGGGGAGGACAAGGGACAACCCCAGCGCGTCTCCGGCTCTTCTCTGAGAGGGCGAGCTCAGGGAGCCCCTCCAGATTTGATTTCCTGTGGATTAAGGAGACCGCCTCTTCAACATTATGTCGACGGGAGAAAGCTTTGAGTCCCGCTTTGAAAAAATCGGGATGATGATAAAGGACCCCAAATCTGAAGTAAATTCGGACTGCTTACTGGTAAGTGGCATTAACTTCCTTTTTGGTGTATATTAAAGATACGTGGGAGGGGGGACTTCCTTGAGGGTTTTTCCCCCTACTCCCAAATACAAAATCTTGCTGGGTGGCTTTCTGTATTTCTGGAAGTTAAAATCTAGCATGTATGGATGACAGCGATTTGAAGCTGCTATAAATATTTTGACAAAGCTTTATTATGTCAGCACTCAGTCTAGGAAGAGGCGGTTCTAGTTTCTCAAGTTAAAATAATCCTTTCTTGCAGGCTTATGTTTGGGTCAAGGTCCACTAACGTGTTGTGGGACCCTTTTGAGGGTTGGAACTCTTGTTTGACAGGTGAAGAAATTGAATGATCTTAAAGTGGCTATGATTATTGTGTGATTTATACGTTTTTCAACCAATAGAACCCATGTACTGTCTGATATTGAGTTTCCCTAGAAGTTGAAGGTGGCTTAATGTTAACACAAGAAATTTCACTGTTACAAAGATCAGATTGAACTTGCTTATTCAGAGTTATTTACTTGACTGCATGTATTGATTTAGGGACCTGATACTGTTATGCTAGCATTAGAGTTGTGTTCACACATCATGCTAGACTGAACAGCCTTTGGCAAGTTTGTGGCTCAGAAATGAACCTATGTAGTTTGTTTATGGTTCTGTGCATTGTATTTACTCAGGTATTTGGATTAAGCAAATAAACTATACTTCAGTTAACCATGGGTTAGCTAGTTGTGTAAACATAGCTGGGGTGAACATAGTAGGCTATTACGGTTAGCCCAAGTAGCCAATGGTTTTCTAACCTGTTGAAGAGACAGATTAAATCAGTGTGTGATACATTGAACTTTAGTAGGATTAGGTTTACACCCTTGATCATAATTTCATTTTTCACATTAGTCCACATGAATAAGTCCATGTGGCTTGTTTGTCCTTAATTTTTCCCATGAGAAAGTTGTAGCTTTCAAATATTTGAATATGGGGTCCTCAAGACAATTAAGGTGAGGTGTGCAACATCAGGGTACAATAGAACACTTTCCAATGTACAATAAAAATAGAATTGGAAGCCACATGGCAATGCAAAGAAAGGAGTCAGTTGAGCATATTTTATTCATATTTTGTGGTTAGTTTATGAACTTTATAATTGTTAAAACTCCAGATTTAAAGGACAATTATAATTGAAAATAATTATTGAAGAAGCTTAGTATGAGACCATGCCAGGTGTTTTAATTAACTTTCTATCCAATCACTGTGTACTACTTTTTAAAAAATAAACTGCCTGTTGATCTTATTTTTATGCCTGTCTCATCAAGTGTAAAGTGGTTACATTTTCTTTCTTTTATAGGCAGGAGATATCCATCAGCATGATAGCAATAGCAGGGTATTGTACATTTTGTGTATACATATCATTAATCGGGCATAACAGGAGTGGCCAGGGCACTATAGTTGGCATATCCCTTTTGCTGCCCTTGAAAGCTGTCTCTCCCTCATGGATGGAGCCAAAATTTCAGCTCTTTGTAGGGGGAGGATTAAGGGGTTAAGTAGGCACCTTAGTTTAAAGCATTTCATTCCTTAAAATCCCCCAAACTTTCCTTCCCAACATCCTCCCTCCCCCCCCCTTTTGAAAAACAGTCATTAACATGCTGCACAAAGCCTGGGGCTGTCCTTGAAATGCTAGAAGTTTCTCACTCCTGGGCATAATATTGATATGAGAGTGCTCCTTGTATCAGTTGTTCATAGTAAATGCTTTGTGTATTAGGCTGATGGTTGGGATAGAGTCATTTAAATGTTACTGTGTTCCATTTGAATTAACATCATGGGAATGATTTTTTTTTTTTAGTATAGTCATAGATGGTTACACTAAGTCCATAATGAAGAGTAACTACTAAATATTCTCCCAGTAACAGCATGGGCTATAGTGAAGTAGGAAGCTGCTGATTCTGAATTAGAGTTTTGGCCCAACTGGCTTAGAATTTTCCATGTTTATAATTGGGTTAGGGTTCAAGATAGTTATATTTTGTGTCTAATCTAGAGAAAATAGTGATTTAATTTGGGAATAGGGCTATGCAGCATTTTGGATTAAAACCTCCAAAGTTGCTCCAGAGTGTGTGAGAGCGCAAACACATCACGTGTCGACAACCTTAAAGTAGTGTGTTCTTTTCCTGGATTTCATGGCTGCTCTGGAGGGCAGTAATGTGACTCTTGGAAAGGACGTAGATGTTTTAAGATGTTGCAGTTAGGTGTAACGTGCTCCAAAGAAATTTCTGGAGGTTGAATTAGCCTTGATGCAGAGAGTATACTCCAATAGAGCTGTAGTCTGACTTGGTGAAAAAGTGATAGCACCATCTCACCTGACACTGCTCTAACCTTTGTTCCCTTGGCTGTTTTTTCCCCTCCTCCTGACCTTCTTTGGCTATTGCATCTTGTATTTTAGAAACCCAACAGTATGTACATGTATTGTCTGTAATGCATATATGGCTGGCTTAATATTTTCATTTCATGCATTCTGTGTAGCCTTCACAAATAACAAATATTTTGCCTGGATCATGTACATGTCTAGACAATGGAGTGAATTTGTGATGGTGCTGTGGATAAAGACCTGAGGCACCCAGTGTGTAAATCTCAGCAGAAACTGCATCTATACTTCATTAAGGAAGCAGTCAATTTATCCCTTAGCATGGATGTTATGTTCCCTGGCAAGGATCAGATTTAGCTCAGGTAAAAACTGGCACCTGCTTACAGGTTTCACCACCTTCCACATCTTCTCTTTTGCTCCCCATGGAACAAAATATTGTTAATTGCTTGCTCATTTGTATCTGTTCAGAAGTTTATATAAACCAAGTAATTCTATAGATGTTGGATCTTAAGTGGAGGAATGTTGGGGTCTCATGTAGTCCCCACTACACTTTTCAAGTTAGTGGTAGAATTCTGACTTCTCTTCTTGTCTTCATGGTGGCTGTTAATGTTATGATTGTAGGGAGGAGTTTGAAAATATTAGAAAATCACATTTATGAGCATTAAAAAAATCCTGACTTGATTAAAATAATTGTAAATTTATCCACATTAGAGCTGCAAGCTGCTTTCATCCAAGGAATATAAATATATTAGTTTAGGTAAGGAAGATGAGTATAGAATTAATCCACAGTGTAGTAAGCAAAAGTAAGGATTTATCATTTGAATTGGAAACATTAGGTAGGTAATTCTTATCCAGAAAAATCATGCAGAAATGTAATTTTTTTAGCTTTTTTATCCCCAAAGTAAAAAATATGTAGAATGCAATTAATAAAGAGCAATACATTCAAATGCTTAACTACATTATATCATAGCTGTATTGCCATCTTATCTTTTAGCAGTAATGTTATAAGCTTCTCTGGGAGTGCTGTCTACCATTTTAGGATGTAACAACATTTTTAGAAGTATTTAAAAATTTAATCACTATGCATGCCAAGTGTAAGCTCTATTCATTCTCTTAAACCTTTTAATAACATTAAGTGTGGATTGGAGATTATTGTATTGCTCTGCTCCTCTTGAAGGCGGTCCTCAAGTCCCCTTGTAGTCATCACAATTATAGTGTCCTACAGGATTTATTTTATTTGGTTGCTTAATATGTGCATAAAACCACAAAGAAAGGTTATCTGATGCTTAGGGGTAAGGTGCCAGTGTGCAGCTCTCCTGCCTTTTTTTAAAACCTAAATAACCTCAGTTGCTTCCTTGAAGTTATTTAGATATTTTAAGGAAGCTATTGGTTTTACTTAAAAATTCAAAATGTTGGCTGAGATCAGTAATGGTCTGGATGAGGGTGAGCAAGTAGAAATTAAATCCAGTGGCTTCCTTAAAACATCTAAATAAACTTCTAATCAATATAGCAGTGTTGGTAGTAGAAAGCATGATTCAGGGATTGGGATTCAACCTGTTTTTTAGAAGCTGTGGTTCTTCGAAAGATGAGGTCTGTATTTTTGGAGCACTCCTTGATCTTTCACTGTCTTTAGTTTTCAAGAAGTTATTGTAGCATGGTTCTACTTTTAGTAATAAATTATTTATATTATTTATTATTAGTAGTTTAGTGCACCAGGATTACTTTCTTTAGCTTTATTCTGATTGGGCAGCAGTTATCTATACTTCACATATATCAATGCTTTTTACATAGTGCTGTCCTTAAAGATGTCTAGATATTTCCATAATGAAGACTGCATTAATTAGTGAATCATTATTTTAATAATTCAATATTGAAACATATATGTGTTTTAGCCTTTTAAAATTTAAGTAGCTTAGAGGCCACCTCTTCCATTTATGAATCTATCTTGTTGTTTAGATCTTTAGAGATCCTTTTATGGATCCTGTCACTTACAGTGCTCTAAGTATTTCTAGAAGATGTATTACTAAAACTTTAGGAATATTTTTGACTCATACAGTGTTCTTTGGAAATTTAGTCTACTACAGTATGAGTTACATAATGAAATCAAAACAAATCAGTTTGGGCAATTAGAATTTCTACAGTGCTAGTAAAATCTAATATAAAATTGTAAACTATCCATAGAAAGTGCATATTTAAGTGCTCAATTTTCAGGTGGGATTACATTAACCATTTTAGTGCTTTTATCTTAAATCTATATATGCTTTTAAGTTGTTAGGTCTTAACATATTTTCAGTACTCTAAAGAATAGTACTACTAAATAAAGTTTGAATTTGTATTTTTTTTTTAATGGCACTAAAATTTCAATCCTATGATTTCTAGGAGGGAGTAATGTTAATGCAGTATCCAGTGTTGAGGCTTTCAAAGTCTTTGTCCACCTACCTGAAACACTTTGCTGATTGGCTTATTCTTATTTCACAAACACTTAAGTCTAGAACCAATGACAGCAAGAAGGACCTTGACAACTGTTTGTCAAAGGCTTCTATGTCATCATGGCAGATAAGTGAGTAAAGAGGCCAGAAGTCAAGGAGAGAGATGTATAACTAATCCAACATAATTATATGTGAATGATATAACCCTACAGAGAACTTCACAAAAT